CACCAACCTTGTCTCCACCATTAACTGCCAAGACGGAGAATGCAGGCTTAGAAATCTCATTTACAAACTCTCTCAGAGTTTTGAGATCTAATTTTTGGGCCCCTCAATACTTGAAGCGTTTAAAGATATTCCTTACAATCACCTCATGCAGTTTGGTTTCAATTACTCTTCCCTAATGCTTTTCTATCTCTCTCCAATCTGAAAATCCCTCTTGACAGGGGAGTTGGCAGCAAAATCTGTTATTACACCCACTAACCTGAAATTGATGACTTCATTTGTATTTTTGCTAAAAAAAAAAAGTGACTTTGATATTTTTGAAATATGTTTTGTACTTTTGTAACCTCTGTACTTTATGAGTTTAGTCTTCAAGACCATTCTTCTAGGTCTAGGATATTTGTATATTTGCCAAGTATGGGTCCTTCTTTTGTACATTCAACAATTCCTTCCACAGATACTTGGTGAGTGTCTGTTATTGGCCAGGCACTGTTCTAGGCACCAGGGATACAGAGGTGAATAAAACAGTCACGTTCCTTGACTTACATCTTAAAATCTGGCATAAATCTTCGATGACTGGATTTGTGTTCCCACTTGTTTTTCAACTGAGGATAGCTTTCTTTTACAGGTTGAGCTTCTAATTATATTTAATTGTATTTAATTGAGCCCTTTTGAGATGTATTTTCAAGTTAGAATCTTGGGATCTTAGAAGAATTTTCCCTTTTTCTCTTTGAAATTTCTTGAAATCAGCCCTCTGAATTTCCAGGTCAATGCCTAACATTTTTCCTAGTATTTCTCTCCTTTAATGTTGGCATGCTTTTGCAAAACTAAAGACAGCAATATGGGAGCAAGAGTCTTTGCCATAATTCACACAGACGTTGGCACATGTGGTTGGTTGAACTCAGCTTCTCTGATTTTTTGTTGTTTCCCACCCACCCCCTGTTTTATCATTATTCCATTATAATTATGCATGGATTTCTCATGGATTTCTTATATCACCACTGTGGCTCAGTAATTGAATGTCGGCCCAGGAAACAAGAGGTCACCGGTTCAATTCCTGATTGGGGCACATGCCTGGGTTGCAGGTTTGATCCCCAGTAGGGGGCATGCAGGAGGCAGTTTCTTATTGATGTTTCTATCTCTCTATCCCTCTCCCTTCCTCTCTCTCTAAATTTCAATAAAAATATATTTTTTTAAAAAGACGTAAATATATATCTTTCTTATATAATAAGACATAACATATAATAAGATAAATTGGGGTAGACTCAAATATGAGAGGAAAGAGAAGAGAGTTCTCTTTTCTTCATGGGATCATATTTTTATTGCTAATTTAAAATTTTGTCTGCTTTCTAGGAATAACCCTTCCCTAGTCTATGCCATCCTTTGTATATGGACCTGGAGCATGCTGCAGTTTCCACTTGACCTAGCAGGTAAGTGTCTTAATGTTTTTTCAAAGAAACAGAAAACGACAACCTTTGATTATAAATTATAATAAAGCTAAGGAGGCATTTGAGAGAAAGATCATATTTGTCTTTTGATAGTTCAGTGTTAGTTCCAGTTCTGTTTAGATGAAAAGCAGATTAAAACTTAGGAAAGCCATCTGCAAATTTACTCTGGTACATGGTGAGTCTGAGAAAGTTGAGTGGATGAGGGCACAGCTTTACATTCACTTCACAGAGTGGTTCCATCATTTAAGATTTGTAAAACCTCCTGTAAATTAGTTAACACGTCTGTGTGTCAGTTCTTCCTCCATGAAATGGAAATGAAAATCATAGTAGGTAGGATTGAGGGTTCTTGTGATGACTCAATAAAATATAGTTCATAAAGTGCTTTGCGCAGTTGCTGGAATATAAATATTACCTCTTGGTATTTTAAGCGGTTATTTTCATGCCTCTGTCAGACCTATCCACTGGAACATCACAGAGAGTAAGAGCAGTTTCAGGGCCATATGCAAAATTAAAATTTTCCTCAGTGGTGGCTCTAGAAATCCCATTGGTCTTCTTTTAATAAAGACATAAACCCCTAAGACTTTGCAAGAAGTAAATTGTTTTCAAGGTACTTCATACCAGTGATCATCAAGAGCTACATTGTCTAATATGGTATCCACTAGTCGCATGTGGCTACTTAAAAATTGAAATTCATTAAAATTAAATAAAATTAAACATGCAGTTCCTCAGTCACATCAGCCACATTTCAAGTGCTCGATTGCCACACGTGCCTATTGTATTAGACGCAGACACAGAACGTTTTTACCATCACAAAGGTTTTAGGAAAGCATTGATCTGGAGTTTTCCCATAATTCCTAGGACCCTAAAATCTCAATTTGGGAATTCCCCTGGATGCCACTTTACTTTGAAAAAATTCTAGGATTTAATAATTACATTTTCCTTAAGTCTGACTTCTTTTTTTACGGCACCCTACCTGATGGCCTCAGATTAGAAGTAGCAGTAGCCAAGATTTGGAAGCACCCAACTGCCGATCAGTAGATCAGTGGATAAAAAAGCTGTGGGGCATTTACACCATGGAGTACTACTCAGCCGTAAAAAAGAAGGAAATCTTACCTTTTGTGACAGCATGGATGGACCTGGAGAGCATTCTACTAAGTGAAATAGACCAGCCAGAGAAAGACAAGTACCATACGATCTCACTTATATATGGAATCTGATGAACAAAATAAACTGACAAAATAGAAACAGACTCATAGATACAGAGAACAGACTGACAGCTGTCAGCGGGGAGGAGGTTGGGGGGCTGGGGAGAAAAGGTGAAGGGATTAAACGAAGAAAACAATTCCTAGGCACAGATAACAGTATGGTGACTGCCAGAGGGCGAGGGGGTGGGGGAGGGAGAAGAGGGTAAAGGGGGTAAATGGCGATGGAAGGAGGCTTGACTTGGGGTGGAGAACACAATACAACTTACAGGTGATGTGTTATAGAATTGTATACCCGAAACCTATATAATTTTATTAGCCAATGTCACACCCCCTGCAAATTCAATTAAATAAAAATAAATAAAATTTTCTGCCTCTAATTTTTGACTCACTTTGATAGGCCTGGAGGTTTCAGAGGCCATTTTAGACCTTAGCATCTACTTTTCTGAAATAAAATTGTCACCAGAATAGATGCAGTGGCTGTAGCTTTTTAGAAATACCAGAAACTTATTTACTAGTTAATAATTACAAATAAATGTATACCAATACCACACACACACACACACACACACACAGAGGTTGNAATTACAAATAAATGTATACCAATACCACACACACACACACACACACACAGAGGTTGTGTCATAATGTGCCCTAGAAGGTGTCCTGTACCCATGGATCGGATGGTGTCTTCTCACTGAATATTAGGCACTATCACTCTACATGGGAAACAATACTCTTAGGAGGCCCCATGGGAGCCTGGGAGCCTTTTCCAGACCCTGACTTCTTTGGAAAGGCTATGAGTGATCTTAGGTTATTTTTTCTTTTGTCATTCATTCCGCTGGTCCTCACCCTCCCATATCTTGTGGTTTATAGCCTTGCTAAGAAAATTTTTATTTAAGAAAGAAATTGTGTAAACTTTCAGGGGGTGATAATGTTATGCAGCTGTTTGAAAAACAAAGACCAAATGTTACTTCTGACTAAATTACTATTGTATTTCCAGCAAACAGTGCATTATGTTCATATCAAAGCAGCTTCATAATATTTGCAGGCTTTAGCAGACAAGGCATTCTTTGTTTGAAAACTCCAAATGGAAGCCTTCTTCATTATTAAAGGATTATTTTCTGCCCTTGACCCTGAATTAAATTCACATTTTAGAAATTAAGACAAAAAGGTTCATTTGTTGATTAGACCTCCTCTTGTTCAACTGGAAAATCAGTAATTATATCCAGTTTTCTTGTAAACTGTGAAACAAAATCGTAAGGAATTAGACAAAATGAATAATAATGGCATTTATTTGTGTTTTTTTCCACCACCGTAAGAAAAATATGTTGACCACGAGTTAGGTTTGAATTTGAATATAAGTGCTTGAATTTTCACAACACAATGTACACATAAGATCAAGTGAGTCAACTGGTAAATAGGTAGATCTCAAAGAGAGGGTCCAGAAGGATCTGGGTCATGTATATGCTCTGTCCCATCTCTAGACGTGGCAGTCAGGTAAGTCATTCAGTATCCCAAGGGAGAGAGAAAGTGAGAAAAGCGAAAGGAGCCGGGTGTATTGTTCCAATGGAAACAAGAAGCATCCGTGAATAGGGCTCCCTCTCCTCACAGGTATTGTTATCCCATTTTTCAAAAAAGGAAACAGATCCAGGCATGTTAAGTAACTTGCTCAGCATCTTCTTGCTAGAAAAGGAGGAGGCCAGGTGGAAGCAGCAGGCCCCTGACCTGAGGCCCAGAGCGCCTGCTGCGCTGCCTCCCGCGAGGCTGACCCCAGGGACAGTTTCCCCTGTTCCTCATTCTCTCCACCCTGGCTAGTGTGCTTTTCCCGGTGAGAGGGCTAGCAGGTGATCTGAAATTTTTTCCATTGGTATAAACTAGAGGCCTGCCTTTCTTTGGTGTGTTTTATTGGGACTATAACACATCATCTTTGAATATAAAATGACCAAGGATGTTTCACCTGTCCCGACAGAATAAAATTCGAGAATCCCTCCCAACCATGAGCTAGCAGAGCACGCACTGTTGAAAACTTGTTCCCATTTCCTTCTGTCTTACTTTTTGACATTTCAGAGAAATGCATTAATCGGTCTGTCTTGTATTTTCAGTACAGCATTTCGTGTGCCCCATGCCTGTGACAGCGAGGGGGTTCCCCAGACTGTTTTTCTGCCAGTACAGTGCCGACCTGTGGAACATTGGAATCAGTGTCTTCATACAAGACGGTCCCTTCCTCCTTGTGCGTCTCGTACTGATGACCTATTTCAAGGTTATCAACCAGATGCTGGTGTTCTTTGCTGTGAAGAATTTCCTTGTGGTGATATTACACCTGTACCGCCTGGTTGTCCTGGCGCTGGGCGTCCGTGCCTCCTTGCGAAGGCAGCCACAGGTCCCGAAAGGAGAGCGCGGTGGCCCAGCTGAGCCTGCTGAGAGTGAGGTCTCACCTGGGGACTGGGAGAGTGGCTCTAAGGAGGGCTTGGCTATACCTTTGCGAACCTCACCAGGCACCTCGGATGACTCTCACCCCACCCCGTAGTTATTTATTGACAGCCGCGTGCAACTGAAATATTTAACTTTCCAGTTCTTCTTACAAACAGAATTTCCCCCTCTCTTGCATATAATAATTTCCAAAAGAACAACAAAAAAGTGGCCTTAAACCTGTCAAAATAATATAAATGGAGCCACTTTAAATGGAGCCGGAGAAACTGCCTCGCATGTCTTATGCCTCACACTTCGGGACGTTAAAACGGCAGAACAGCCTTTGGACTGGGCCTAAAGCAACCAGGTGTCCCAAGGAAGCAGTTTGCCAGGATAACAAAGTAGGTATTGTGACGACCGACTGATGGTACCTGAGCAAAAATCAACAACATTGTTTAGAATTAGCGTCACTATATTATGTTATCTGCCCCAATAGAAATGCCTTCCTTTTATTTATGTAGTTGTTCCCCTTTCCTTTCTCGTAAATGCCCTTTGCCTTTGTCTCCTAATCAGAGCACCCTTTGGGTCTCTGCCTGAATCAGCGCATTCTGAATACCTGTTTTTATTGATCTCAAATACATGCTTGTTGCCTTTCACTTTGAAAGGCCTTTTACTTTTAGGTTATCAAACCAAAGCTGAGACTTTTTTTTAAACTGGATGGATGGAAAGAACTTTGATTAGTGGCTATTGTTACAACTTCTGTGTGATGGTATCAGATGTTACAGTTGTTCAACAACTAAGTGATTTGTTTGTCTTGAACTGTTTGACAAGCTATGGACAGGGTTACAATGACATTCCCGGGAGAGAGATTTAGTGCAGACAAACCATCCGGGCTGTTACCTGAAAACAGAGAAGCTTTGAACTTTGGCTCCATTGTCAGACTATCTCATCTGATCTCTTCTGCAATGTCCCTCTGACATTTAAAAAAAAAAAAGTACATTCAGTGAATGCAGAATAAAGGGAAATGTGCCTTTAAAATTACCTCACTGGGGGCTAGAGACAGCGCAAATCTCTGCGGCGCTTCCATCGCATTGAGAGCCCTCTTCACTGCTGCACAGGCCTTCCCGGGAAAATCATTTTTCTGGGCTGATGTGGACTTCTGTCATGGCACATATGCTCTTACAGAAGTTTTATGGCTTTTGGCTTGGGCGCTGCAAAATTCACAGCAAGCCATTTCAGCTCCACATCCACCGGTGGCGAGGCAGGAAATACCGGTAACGCTGGCGAAGTCACAGTTTCCACTCGGAACGTGATTTGCGGTATTTGTCAGCGTTTCTGTTAAGTGCACTTCGCCGTTTTCTGTCCGGCCAAGTCGCATTCTGGGGGTCGATGCGAGGAAGCGCTGAAGCAGTGAGCAAGGGGGTTTCGGGCCCTTTAAGGGTTCCCGGTGTCTGCCAGCTGTCGTCGGAGCTCTTCTGCACTGTCACCGCTGGAGATGGCCTTGGTCTCAGGAAGGATATTGGTGACAGAGGCTTGCACCAGCCTGAGCATGGCCAGTGGCCCTGGATGAGTGACAGGGATCAGAAGACGCATGGCACAGCATTGTGGAAACAGGGACGCTCGCCTTTCTTCCCCGTGTTAAGAGCTCACTTTCCCAGGATCGAGACTCACACTTTTCTTTTATTCACCCCTGTGCTTTCCAGGTGGAGGTGACTCAAGACCTTTTGAAACAAATTTTACTTTTAAAAATATAGTGTGCAATTTTACCTGGCTATCTCACAGTAATTATATGAGGCAAACAGTTCCAAAGACGTTCTTTCGGGGTTAAAAGCAGGAACACTCAGGAACGTTATTACGCTCAGGAACTCACAGACATTTAAATAAGGTAGGGTATGACCTTAAATTGGGTGTGACTGATTGACAGTTAATTGGGACAATTTCATCTATGAATTCGTGTGACATGATATCTGTTCAAAACATTTGATGAAAAGTTTCATAGGCAAATTCTGTTTTTACACAGAGAAATTAATAATTTCCAATTAATGGCTTCTCCAGTGCCCGATATCATTTTCTATTTCTTTCTTTTCTGCCATGTGTTTCTAATTTTAACAATATGATAGCAATATTACACATGGAGCTAATGGAACCCATTTATAATTTTACATAATAATTTTATGAAAGATCAGGAAATCGTATCTATCTAAAGGAAGAAACTTGACAACTTTTAAGGGTATGTTATTTAAAATGCTTCGCAACTGAAAGCAAAATAATAGCTACTATTTATAAAAGCGCCTCGGCAGAATCTGTTTTTATGTTGACTGTTTTATGGTGAATGTTTTCCTCCACGACATGTATGTGCTACTTATTACTGCAGATTTGCTCATGGCATACTTTTCATGTTTTAATTTTTTTTTTCCAGCAAAACAAACATTGGGCCTCTAAAAATAGATGAGTATAAAGTAATACGGGCTGTTGCAAGGATATTTTTAAATGCTTTCAAATCTGAGACTTGGCTTAGCTTTGTGAATGAGTTTCTAGCTTTTAAGTAAAGTATTTTGTAATTAACACTCCTCAGAAGGCCTGAGAAATAGAAAATACAGAGTCTAGCTTCATTTAGGGTTCCAAGAAGGCAAATAGCACCCAGGGCCATCTCAGCAATTAATGGTGAAAAAATAGGAACATACCCTGGCAACATTTTCCAGGAAAATCTGCTAAGGGCATCATTTGTTCACCTACCTGCCAGTCCTCTCTCTCACTCTTTTGAACTTGCTGTTTTTGTTGCAGAAAGAAAATCTATATTCATTTAGTTTATTTATAAATAAAATGTAAGTCCAGGTTGTATCCCTAGGACCCTCATGAAAAGTTGAAAATGTATTGTTACTGTACTTTTTTATTGTAGGTTGCTAAACATGGTAATGTTTGAAACATTAAACTATTTGCTATAAAGTGGTTAGGATAACAGTTACCTCCCATATGTTGACATCCTAGGACTTGTGTCTATTTAATTTGCAATAAGATAAGTGACTCAGATCATCTGTATACTGTGATCCAGGCCAAAACTCTGTGCCACCCTTATAGACACATGCCACTCCTCGACCATGGAAGAACGTGGCTTATTTGTTATTATTGCTGTATTTTGATTGCTTGATTAAAGCTCAATCAGATGTCCTCCCTGAAAACATAGTTTACTTTTGAGAAAACACAGTGTGCATGTTTGAATGATGCTGTGCAAAAACTCACCTTGTAACCACCTTGTGAGTGGCCCTTCCCCTCCCTAGATGAGTCTCAGGGGACCTGACTCGGCATCACAGGATTAGTAACCTGCCTTTGTCTTTGATGATATTGTTAATTTTTAGTTACTCTGGTACAGATAACATATGAAAATAAAAACCTGTGTTGGCAATAACATTCTTTTAAATCTTCCAAATTGAACCTTATTATACAAGGGTATCAATTGGCTCTGCTGCCGTTCCACTAACATGTAACTGCACTTCAGTACTTATAGACCAGAAAGACAGGCCCAAGAAATATCAGGATTCACTATTATAATGTTAATTGTTAGTGTAATAGCAACTTTTCAAAGCCCTGGGAAGGCTTGCATTGTAGTTTGCATGTTTTAGGATTTCCGCAGAGGTTTCAGAGCTCAGCTCTGACCTGTATTATCTTTGGCACTTAATCTCGATGACTCTCAGTCAACTCTCCTGTTAAAAAAAAGAAATGCAAGAGGCCAAGTCTCCATCCACTTTCACTCTACTCTACTGCCAGGAAAGTGAGATACTGAAATATCGCAGAGCCTCAGAGAAGTAAGTGAAAACCAAACAACCTTGAGTTACTGGAAGAGATTGTTACTCTTTTCCTAATTTCAGACTTTGCTTTTTCACTTAGAGGACATTCTGATCCACTCTCAGAAACATCTGATTTGGGGTTAAACTGGGCAGCTGGAGGATGTTTATAGCTCTGAGGCTTCGAATAACGTTCCATATGATGGGAGTAACTAAACAATGTTTGAATAATCAACCGCCACAGCCTTGTATTTTATGGGTGTCCAGCCTCTGAATATTTTATATGAATATTTTCTTTGAATTACTCATATTTATACTATTTTGCTATGAATGACATTTGTATTTTATTATGTATACATTAAATAGTTTGTTTACAACTTTATCTCAATGTCTATTTTTTGCTTGAATGTCTTGTCTTTGTTCTCTACTGTAATTCATTTCATTTAGTTTCTAAGCTCTGGCTTAAAAAAAAACAACACTGATCTATTTAGAGTATGACTAAAGTGGCATTTCAAACTAGTGAGGAAAGACTGACCAATTTTATAAATGATGTTGGGAAATTTTGCGAACCATCTGGAAAAAATAAAGTTAGATTTTTATCTCACGCAATATATAGAAATAAATTCCAGATGGATTAAAGATCTAAATGTAAAACTGAAAACTATAAAATATTAGAAGAAAACATGGAATGTGTCTTGAGCATTTGCGGAGTGGGAAAGATCTTTCAAAGCAAGACATGGAACTCAGAAGCTATGGAAGTAAGGCTTGACAGCTTTTCCTATGTAAAGGCTTAAAATTTCTGAGTAGAAAAAGGTATCATGAATACATCACTATTTTTTTTTCTTTTCTGTGCACTCATACAAGAGAAATGAGAGGTATAGAAATTATAAAGGAGGAGCCAATTTTATCATTTCTTTGTAGAAGATTGAGTCTTGAACAACCAAGAAAAGCACATAAAAACCAAAGAAACTATCAAAAATAATCTTAAATCTTGAAGAAAGTCAATGGATTTTCTATGTATAGACAAACATCACACAGAATACATATTCGAAGGAGAGATTTTCATAAAACATGACACAGAACTGAAAAATACATAGAAATAAACTGAAATGTACACAATCCATGTGAACAAAACTTTTAAATGGTTTTGAGTACCGTTCAGTGAATAATTTAGCAAATGGAAAGATATATTCTTTTGGGGAGCGGTAGGAAGGCAGTATTTAAAAATGTATCCATTTCTCCTAAATTGATGTATAAATTTAAAACAACCTCTACAATGATATCAATAAGACTTTACTTTTCAATTACTACCCAAGCTGATTCTAAACACTTTATGATAAAATAAGCGTGAAAGAATACCTTGAAAACACTAAAAAGAAAAAGAAACGTGAGAGACAGTGTTCAGTATGTTTAAATATATGACAGAGCTACAATAACCAAGGGAATTTGATTCTGTCAGGCAGAAAAATAGAACAGAATAAGGCCAAGAAATAGACTAAATTACATTAGGGTTTTGATATGTAATAAGTCATGAGGGCTGATAGAGTATTATAAGTGGTTTAAGGCTTTTAAAGTATCAAACTGGACCTTTATCTCAGTCCTTATGTCCAAAACATTTTCAGATGGATCAGTAGTTAAACATTAAAATTAAAAAACATAGAAAACCTTGCTTTTACATTTGCCATGTTGAGAATGTTTCCTAAGCAAAATACAAAACTAGAAACCACAAGTCATAAATCTCAAATTGTAAAATTAGACTTTTAACGTCACAAAGATACCATAAGTAAATTCAGAGGTTGAACAAACTGGGTAAGTATTTTTGCAATAAATGTAACAAAGCATTAGTTTTCTTAATGAGCAAACAGTTCTTATAGATTAGAAAAACAAAAATAAAGTGCAACCACTGGAATAATGGGCAAAATATATATGATTCACTGAAAAAGGAACAGTTAAGGAAATGCAAATCAAACCACAATGAAATGCCATTTCTCAAATGCAAACTAAACCACAAGATACCATTTTTGAATCATGGGCTTGGCAAAGATTCAAGAGCCTTTGAGAATGCTGCATTAGAGGGGGTCAAGGGAAGCGGCTTTCTTACTCATCGCTGGTGAAGATGCAGATTGTTACAACTTCTTTGGAAGACATTTTGGCACTATCAGTCAGAATTAGGAATTCATTTATCATCTGAGCCAGCAACTCAACTTCTAAGAATGTATTCTGCAGATAAATGTATGGGAAAATGTGTGGATACGGCTGTTCAGAGCAGTAGAATATCCACCAATAGTAGTTTCTATAGCAGCTCCAGGAGGGTTATTATTAAATTGGGGAACATTTATACTACATATTACCATCTAGCTTTTAAAAGGAATAAAGTAGATCCATAAGTGCTGATGAGGAAAAATCACCAATTTTTTTTTTTTTTAGGTAAAGGTAAGAGCACAAACCATGAGGTTAGCACGTCACTTTTTATAAATGTTACCCAGACCTTTACAGATGGCTATTAAGTGCAGGAAATGACGCCCATGTTCCCAATGACCATGGACATTCCCCCCTTTTCCTTTTATTTATTTTTTAACCTTTATGCTTTTTTATAGTTTAAAACTTCTAACTACGCATTCCTTTTATAATTTTAAAAGCATTAATAAAAAGAGACCTCACCAACTTACAGAGCCTACTGCCATGTATAGATACTATATCATTTTACCAATAAAACGAAAACACATTACTTTCACCAAAGAAAAATACTTTGCCATTATAACTAAGGATGATTTTTAGACACTTTCCATAAATAAAAGGTTTAACTCATGTCAAGCACTGCTTGCCTTATGAAGCATCAAACCTAGGGAAATGAAATAATGACTAGACCTTTAAGACCACAGAAAAATCAAACTGACCAAAACACATCATTGGGTATTGATGAGTGCCATGGAGATACTTTGCAATGACCGCTCTGACACTTTCACCCTCTCTGACTTTTATGGAGCCACCAAAACAAACCATAGAAGAATTCCAGATTGAATTACACACTCGAGCTGATTTCCCCAAGAGAGAGAAGGAACTGAAGGAATCCTGAAAGAGGAAACTTCAGAAAGAATCATCTGTTCATCTGTTTCCAAGTTCATATTCGTGGCCCATCTAACTTGTGTGTATGTAAGCTTTTTAGATTTTTGTTAAATATTTACTAAATTTACAATCGATTGTGGTAAGTGATCAAATGGATCTTATGCAAATCTGATCAAATTATTGAGGAAAACAAAACTTCCTAAACCAACCATATGTCAGATATCATATAGTCTTTATATCCAAACTAAGAATTTTGGGCAAGGAAAATTGGATCTACAAGACAAAATATGTTTTCTCTGTGGATGCTGTTGTTCAGCTTCTGCCAAGTGCATAGCTGGAGAATTCAGATGGCTCTGGTTCTGGGATCTTGGGGGTTGTTTCTACCTTCTGGCAAAGAATGTTCTTCTCTATTATTCAAAGGTTCCCATATGACCTGAGTGACAGCTAACAGCTGGGTCAAAAGCTATAATTATATTATCAGCTCTCTTGGTTTCAACAAACTTATAACTGGTGGTTTTTATTGGTATCTAACTGCAGACTTTCCTGGACTCTATGCCTGAATTTGCATCCCCCTTCCTGGATATTCTGCAAGCATCACACACTCAATATATATATAGAATGCATGTCTTAACACACCCAACTCCCAATATACTCCAGTTCCCATGCTCCACACAATGATTAGCAGCATCTCCGGCCACTCAGGCCCCCATGCTAAAACAGACCCTTGGCTTTTTTATCTTATCCCTCCTACTTAAGCAATCCCTAAGCTCGCTCAGTTATGTTGCTTGTAATTCCTTTCAGTCTTGGAGCTCCCCTCTCTATTCAGTGTCATCCTTTCTTGCCTCAGTGACTGCAGTCATTTCCCAACTGGTCATCCAACTTCCTAGTTTAATACCCCATAATAATATTTCCAACTGCATTCAGAGCTGCTCTAAAATGCACAGTTGATCCTATGTCTCTTTTATTTAAAACACTTTGATGCCTCGGTGCCAACAAGATCAAGCATGAAGTCCCAAGGAAATCCTTTAACACCTTTCACAAGCTGGCCCTAACCCGACTTTTCAACCTTGTTTCCCGTCACTGCTCACACACGTACCCACAGCTGCCACCATGACGCTCTACTCGTGCTCCCCTAAACTTGTCTTTATTCTGTGCGTTGCTATGTGTTTGTGTACATTGCTATTTCTTTTTTCAGTGATTTCCTCCATTGCCACCCCTCNCATTAATAAAAAGAGACCTCACCAACTTACAGAGCCTACTGCCATGTATAGATACTATATCATTTTACCAATAAAGCGAAAACACATTACTTTCACCAAAGAAAAATACTTTGCCATTATAACTAAGGATGATTTTTAGACACTTTCCATAAATAAAAGGTTTAACTCATGTCAAGCACTGCTTGCCTTATGAAGCATCAAACCTAGGGAAATGAAATAATGACTAGACCTTTAAGACCACAGAAAAATCAAACTGACCAAAACACATCATTGGGTATTGATGAGTGCCATGGAGATACTTTGCAATGACCGCTCTGACACTTTCACCCTCTCTGACTTTTATGGAGCCACCAAAACAAACCATAGAAGAATTCCAGATTGAATTACACACTCGAGCTGATTTCCCCAAGAGAGAGAAGGAACTGAAGGAATCCTGAAAGAGGAAACTTCAGAAAGAATCATCTGTTCATCTGTTTCCAAGTTCATATTCGTGGCCCATCTAACTTGTGTGTATGTAAGCTTTTTAGATTTTTGTTAAATATTTACTAAATTTACAATCGATTGTGGTAAGTGATCAAATGGATCTTATGCAAATCTGATCAAATTATTGAGGAAAACAAAACTTCCTAAACCAACCATATGTCAGATATCATATAGTCTTTATATCCAAACTAAGAATTTTGGGCAAGGAAAATTGGATCTACAAGACAAAATATGTTTTCTCTGTGGATGCTGTTGTTCAGCTTCTGCCAAGTGCATAGCTGGAGAATTCAGATGGCTCTGGTTCTGGGATCTTGGGGGTTGTTTCTACCTTCTGGCAAAGAATGTTCTTCTCTATTATTCAAAGGTTCCCATATGACCTGAGTGACAGCTAACAGCTGGGTCAAAAGCTATAATTATATTATCAGCTCTCTTGGTTTCAACAAACTTATAACTGGTGGTTTTTATTGGTATCTAACTGCAGACTTTCCTGGACTCTATGCCTGAATTTGCATCCCCCTTCCTGGATATTCTGCAAGCATCACACACTCAATATATATATAGAATGCATGTCTTAACACACCCAACTCCCAATATACTCCAGTTCCCATGCTCC